CCCTTCATAATGCAGAGGTCAGCTGCCTGCTCTGCCAATAGTTAGAAATGGCACTATAGTGTTTAATAAACAGCTGTTTTACTAAATTCTGCTGAGGTGAAATTCAGTGCAGTCATGTATCGTGATACGTATCGTATCGTGACTTTGCTGGTGATACACAGCCCTAGTATATACGTAGATTTGTAAAGACATGAGGGTTAGTAACTAATGACAACTTTAATTTTAGGGTGAACTATTAGTATAAATTTAAGTTAAAATTAAATTAAGTTTATTAGTTTAAACAACTTGACCGTCTAACACTTGCACTCTCTATTCTATTTCTATTTTATCTACTTGTTTTCTTTTCATTCATTAAAAAATTGACCCTCTAACATTAGCACTCTATTGTATTTCTATTTGATCTACTTTTCCTTTTATTAAAAAATTGACCCTCTAACATTAGCACTCTATTCTATTTCTATTTTATCTACTTTTCCTTTTATTAAAAAATTGACCCTCTAACATTAGCACTCTATTCGATTTATTTTCCATCTACTTGTTTTATTTTTATTTATTATTAAAAAAACCTTGTCTAACTGGGGCTTACACATTGTTGCTCTTTTGTTGGATTGATTGCTTCTATTGTCCTCATTTGTAAGTCGCTTTGGATAAATGCATCTGCTAAATGACTAAATGTAAATGTAAATTTCAGTCTGTTCCTCACACAAAGCTGTTATAAAATATAGCCTAGTCATATGGACCACACTGCAAAAAAAATATTTTTTCAAAGTTGTATAAAAGAAAGATTATTGGCATACAATTTGCAAGAAAATACTATTTCAGTTAGGGCTGCTCGATTATGGCAAAAATCATAATCACGATTATTTTGGCCAATAATAAACATGAATAAATATACTTATATAAATCAAGCACGTCCCATTTTGCAAAATTCACGTTACATGATTTTACTGATTTGCACGTGAAATTGGGCTTTTATGGAGGAACGAAAGCACAGCGCTGGAAAAGGGGCGGAATGGGGCGGAATAATCGTTTTATCTCGATCATTGTATTTTCATAATCGTTGGAGGCCAAAATCGAAATCGCAATTGTTTTTCGATTAATTGCACAGCCCTAATTTCAGTCACTCTACTTAAAAATGTCATGCTTAATTTGATGCATTACTTGCCCTTTTTTGTAATTGTTAAATTTACTAGCAATTTCTGAGTGAAAATTGCTTTTACACAGTTTTCTTCAATGTACTTTATGGTTGGCTATTGTTTTAATTGACAATATCCGTTGCCCATTAACTTTAATTATTTAGAATGCCAACATAACAGGCCATGATGCAAAGCTCAACAGTTTCCAGTTTGTTGATGAGGGAGATTAAAACTGATCAAAACACAAAAACAGCCAAAAGGACGAGTTTTTAGGAGAGACATCAATGTTTTGGGTCACAACAACTGTTTTATTGCAAACGCAAGCAGCACAATAGCAAAGCTACGTTATTTTCAGGTAGCTCTTCTTATTTTGCAGCATACATGTGTCCAGACGTGCAGTGTCGTCTGTTAAAACACACTTATGTAAACCCTCCAACTCAGGAACACCCGAGGGCTATGAATCAGACGCATTTCATATTCAACACCTGGCAAACGGCAGCTCCTTGGGTCTAAAGCGAACGGTGAACTCCAGAGGCTTGATGTGTCGCGTAAAATCTGGTTTCTGAAACAAACTCTGCTTTAGTCTTCTAAGTTGATTTTCTCTGGTCTTTGTCCTAGAAATGGGTGTCGTGGCAAAGCCCAAAGACGAGAATCTCAAAGCATATTTAACATTTCCATGTGGTTTTGAGGGGGCTAACGTTCTCCGAGTTGAGCACCGTGACCCACAGTCCTCAGCAGTTTCTCCTAATAAGGGCATATTGGGGGCAGTCTTTATTAATCAACAATCTGCCACTGTAATCATAATCAGTGTGAAAAGGGATAAAAGTTGTCAGTGTTTTACTGCCAAAAGTGTTGATTTCAGCTGGAAACTGCAGTGAACTGTATGTATAGGTACGTTTTTGCGAAAAATAGAGCTTGGGTTGAAAGGAACGATCAGCTAAGGAAACTGAAGACCTCAGTATATAGAGGTAAAACAGACTCGCTATGAGAAGATTCCCAGGAGACGAGAGAAAAATCAATTAAGACATTCAGGAAAATCCATTTAGCCTCTTAGAAGTGAGCTAGTGTGTCATGTGCTCAAATATCAGATCAATTCACAACCACCTTTACTAGAGACAAAGCATTTCAGCACTATAACATGCAAAACAAAGTCAGAGTCTGACACTTTGTTCTCAGGAATACTTAAAAACCTTAAGCACATTTTTTTTCCTGCACAAATAAAATGAAGCCAAAGCACCCCTGCTAGGCATCCATACTCCGAAGTGTCCATTTTCTTGACCTAATTTAACAGCATTTCCCAAAACTCCCTGCACAAAAATGAAAATACTACTTATAAAACGGATAGTTCCGGTCCTTGATTCTGATTGGCTGAGCCGCGTTCAAAGCTGTTGTAAATGACTCTACAAAGTAACATACACCTTTGTTTACATTTGTCTGTTGCTCGGCAACCACTTTGTTGCAACCACAACTGTTTCTGAGGCGCTACATTGTTACACTTTATTTGCTCTGCTTTATTTTGTGAAACCTTACCACGTATATGGAATAACCGTTTTATAAAATTGGATTGTCCTCACCACTCACTGGAAATAAAAACAACGTCCTCCCTCAGCCCTCTCGCACAATGATGCGACTCCAGCCTTCTTCCTCGTGTTGCACAGCAGAATGATGAATTGCACCACGCTAAAAGGCACTGCTGTAGTAAGCAACCGAAGCGTCAGGAGTCGAGGGCTCGGAGGGACGCAGTGCTAGCACTGAGGCCTGTGTGTGGGCTTCACTGTTTACACACAAACGCTGCAATCTCTGCCCAGACCGGGCAGCTAATTTGGTCACCCATGACACATTCCTGTGAAACAAACAGGCTGAGTCGGGCTCTCATTAACCACAGGACCATGTTCTGCTGGTTCCCATCCGATGGACTCCCTCGGTCGTTCTCATCTCTGAGCTGCTGGTGGAGCAACAAACTGTTGCTGGTTTATTTTAGTTCAGGGATGGTGATGTTGTGTTTTTATTGGCGAGGATTCCACTGAGGTTTGGTTAGGCCAGCTTTGAAGAACATGAATGTAGTCTCTCAGCTGAGCGATTAGATTCACAGACCACTGACGTGCAATTGCGTGATCAAAAGATATAAAGAACGGAAGGCTTACCGATTCATCCAGAGCGAAGCGCAAGCAGCCGTGTTCATAAAGGACGAAGAATCGTCGCTGCCATTTCTGCGTTAAAAGGAAGTATTATTAATGTTATTCATATTTGCTAAATTAAACAAACTGTCTAGTGGTTAGTATAGTCTGCATTAAATGAAAGTTTACCCCATCTCATTTCCATTCCTTTTTAAAAGGAAGTGTTTAAGATTAATTTTTTTCTTAAAAAAAAACTAAAACTAAATTTGGATTCACTTGATTAAAAACCTTTTCAAAAGTATTCAACAGAATAAAAAGTTTCTCACAGGAGTGAAATATCTCATTTCTAAGTGCATGTTATTGATCTTATTGTAAACGATTCACCCGTGCATGCATTTCAGCTTTTGATTTTTAATCAAAATGTTCTAACTTGAACTTCTTGTGAAATACTGGACTTCTCCAATCACCTTCATCCAAGTTCAGCCATACATTTCTTCCGATAAGCCGTTTAACTCAGATGTACGTCACTATACGAAATAAAATATCTGTAGCTATTTCTGTTTCATCACAACTTTAATCAAGTTAATTACATGATACATGATAAGTAATTACAGATATTACATTATTGTGGCATATAAATACAGCACTGAATAGACAAAAAGTGTCTTTACAAATCAGTATATTGTTTTAATTTAATTAGCATAAGCCCATCACCAACTTACCATTTCTTAAGTACTGGTATATACACACAAGCAGACTGAATTCCGCCTTGGCCTGCGAGAAAATCAAAACATATTATTAAAATCTTCTAAGTCAACAATGGTACAAGTTGGAACATTTTGTGGTTTGATTGTGATGATGGTCATCACAAGATTGAGATTTTGATCACTTTGAGGGACTAGCATAACCAGTTTTAAAGCGTAAGCTACAGGTGCGAGCTTAGACGCAGCGGAGCAGGGCTAGGCAAGTTAATACAGCTTCACTATGGAGCAGATGTTTTGCCTCAAAGGTTAAAAACGCAGGGTTATTAAGCAGCGTCTCGCCTGCAATCAAAAACGCAAGCTCATCTTATTCAAAGCTGATGCAGCTGACACTTTTACGATCTAACCTTCTCAATGAATGCAATGACCTCAAATTTATGACTTGAATATTCTCTATCCTCGCATGCAAAATAAGGACCAAACAAGACCTTGATGTTGTAAAATTAGCCATAAGTTGAGCTTGAGCTAAATAATGACACTATTGTCTTTTAGAATTGCTTTACAGTTCAGTTTCCATAATTGATTTTGCTGTTTTCTTTTTTATTACTCTGTGTCAATTGTGCTTTGACACAATCTGTATAAAATATAGAAATAAAAGAACTTGATATGTAGGGATGGGAATTTTCAAGCACCTCAAGATCCGATCCAATTCCCATTTTGGGAATCATGATCCAATTCCAAACAATATTTTTTTTCTTATTTATTAATTTATTAATGAGTGTACTGCCTTTGAATGTCAAATTTATTTGTGCATTTTTATTAAATTACTTTTGTATAATTATAAGTAACTTTTGAACATAATTCCAAATTTAATAATAAAATCGAAACAATTATATGTCAGGGTTTTTCCTGCATAGAGAATTATGAAGCGGCCGCCTCTGGTTGTCGACAAAACTCTTTTTTTATTCCAAAGGTTCACATATTTGGCATACATGGGCATACATGTTTACTTGATATTTCTTTACACAGAATCATAATTTCTATTAATTTTCCACTGATATACGCGATCTAATGAGCATTATCTATCTGTGTTTTTGCGTCATATCCCTTCCTCGTGCTGTTCCGTACATAAACAAGAAACGCTTCTGCACACGAAACATAAAGCTAATAAACACACGATTGCGAAAGCATATGATTTGTAAGTGATTTTCATGAGATTTGGGGTATTTTCATAACAATAAAGAATGTTTACATGAAAAATGCTACGCTGGTGTATAAAAGGCTACAAATAATTTATTTCAACAACATTATATGACCAAAATCCACATTAGATCGCAATCGGAAGTTATTACAAACACTCAATGGTGGTTTAAAATGAGATTTGAGTAAAAACGTAGCATTAATTTTATAAATAGACTTAACCCTAAAACTGGCAACGTATCCTGTGGGATACAAACATTTGAGAGGCTGTGGGGAGAGGCAGGGAAAGTGTAGGCCTCATTTCTTGGTTTCATGTTGTGAATATTTAGATATATTGACTTTGTTCATACATTCTTTGTTTAGCTCACGGGCGGCATTTAAAA